CTACCTACCTTCCTTCCTTCCTACCTACCTACCTACCTACCTACCTATCCGTTAGCCTCCTTTAGGGTCTGGGGCGGTGGGCGGGGCCTGATTGGCCGTTAGCGGTGGTCTGTAAGACCTTCTGTAAGAGGCTAAGGGCGTCTGCTGACCAGCTTAGAGTTGGTCAGAGGATTATCGAGGGTCTGAGTGTGTTCAGGAATAAATAAATCACATAAATAAACCGACTCCTCAGGGGAAGTCCCCCAAATGTTGAGTTTCTGCTTCTCAGTGAAGCTGTTTCAGCTCCTGAACTCCTGTTTCCACTTCTGTCTGTGATATCTGCTGGAAAAAAGCAGAAATTCAAAGACTAAAGTTGAGATATTCTGATTTATTTCTATTTCTTTTTGTAATTTATCTGATTCCCTGATTAATTTGTGTGTTTTTTTGGTCATAATGGAAAAACTTTAATCTTTTCATCCTTTTTTTAGTAAAATAAGCTCAGATTTTTAAAGGTTTTATGCTTAAAACTGAGCAGTGAGACACTTTAAGCCTCATTCTGTCCTCTCAGGTTAAAGTCTGAGTCTGTTTTTGCTATGAAATCAACCTGTTTCCACCTCCTGAACTCATGTTTGTGCTTCTGTCTGTAATATCTGCTGGAACAGAGCTCATTTAGTGGAAATCAGAGCTGATTCCAGAGGAAAAAAGCAGGAAGTGTGAGTAGTTTCCTCTCTGGTTCTGATCAGAGGCTCATAGAAGGAAAACCTGCTGCTGTCAGAGCTGATCAGGATGCTGATCTGAAGCATTTCAGGGCTTTTGAATGGCAGCAAATAGACTGTTTTCTAAAGCAGGAAGTCTGAAATGATCTACAGCTCTGAGTTCCAGCTTTTAGTCGACTGGTTTCAGAATATCAGATCAGAGTTTCCTTCATTTCTGGATGCTGGATCAGAGCTGATTTCAGGAGGTGAAGCCTCATTCTGGAGGAAAAGCAGCAGAACTGAAAAAAAGCTGAAGAGTTCTCTGGACTCTGGTTTGGATCAGAGGCTCAGATGTTGGTGTTTTATCCAGAAAAAGCTCATTAAATGGAGCCGTTTGGGTCCTTTCAGGCAGTTAGATAGAAGAAAAGCAGAGTCAGGACTCATCAGAAACAGGATTTTAAAGCTTTAAGCTGTAGCTGAATGTCTGTTTTGGGTTTTGAATGACTTCAGAAAAGACAGAAAACCTGTTTCAGGGGTCAGTGGAGAAGCTTTGTGGCTTTTTTCTGCAACTCTGTAATAAATTAGAGGACTTTTAGTGTCATTTAGGAGAAAATTTGAGCTGATTTTGGAGAAAAAAGGCAGAAAATCTGAGTTCTTTGATCAGAGGCTCAGATGTTGATGTTTTATTACAGAATAAATTATATCAGACCACTGTGTGAAGCATCCAGCTCATCTAGAGGCCCTTATGGGTCAAACTGGCCTAATTCTGCTCATTTCTGAGTAGGGTTGTCAAAAGTATCGATACTCAAAAAAGTATCGATACTAAAACGTTGTTTCCAGATACGATACTCATTTTGAAAAGTATCGATACCACTCCCCTTCTCTCTGATTTATTTATGTATTTATTTACGTTGTTTATGATCATTAACAAGACGTTAGCCTTGCTAGCTGCGGCTAATGGCTAATAATAACATGCTACCATTAATCAAGTACATATCCAACTCCGTCCACATCCAATTCGGCCATTTTGATTAGGTCACCAATAGGAAGATCCCAGGCAAGAAAATCCTAATTGCTTCATGACAATATAGGCATTAATTTAAAAATAGTGAAATGAATTTTGCAAACACTGAATTAAAGTCTAGACATATTATGTTAAAATAGTGTATATTAAATAGGTTTGTACAATAAGTCCAAACAAGTTTAACCCAAAAATATTTATTTCTCACAATTATGAAGGCTGGAGGGTTAGGGTTAGGGTTAGGATTAGGGTCATTAATGTGGGCCACCAGTCACGATAACATCAGTAACAGGTCAGTTTGAAATGAAAGACACAATTCAGTTACATTTTGGGGTCTTTGTTTTTATCCTTGTTGTATCGAAAATGGTATCGAGTATCGAGTACTTTCCTGAGTATCGGTATCCAGTTGAAAGTTTTAGTATCGTGACAACCCTATTTCTGAGGCCAAAACCTGCCCTTCTGCTCTGGCCCTTT